AAAAAAATAACGTAAAGATTTGCAGATAGCAATTATCAGCTGCTTTAAAAAAGCTGAACAGCCTTAAAAAGGCCTAAATGTACTCAAGCTGATATTTGTTGATAAGTCACATCGGTTGCTTTAAAAGCGAACTGCAACCAAAAAATATAGGCATAAGGAGAGAACCAGAGCAATACCGGGGAACAGAAATTTAAAAATGATACTCAGTCAAATAAACGGAATAACAGTACGCGTAATGAAGGAGAGCGACTACGGAATTGTGAAACCCTTCATGAAGGACTACTTCCATTACGACGAGCCCATGGGCATGGACCTCGAAGAGGAAATTCATCTACTGAACGAGGCAGAAGTAGACAGGGAATACCTGTCGGTGATCAGTCAAGGTCTCTCCATAGTGGCATTTGATGAAAACAACCGAAATCTTCTCGTTGGCATCGCGGTGGCCGAGGAAATGGACCCCTATACAATGGCCAAGCAGCACAAGGAAGCCGAGGAAATGGAGCCAAATGCCTTGGGTCGAAGCCGTAAGATGATAGCCAAAGTGGAGCGGGATGCCAGAATCTTCGAACGCTGCGGAGTCTCCAAATACCTGAGTTTATTAGTCATCTCCGTTCACGCCTCGATGAGGGGAAACGGTCTGTTGACCCACCTAAGCGTTTGTCTATTCGAATTGGGTCGTTCTCGGGGATTCCCCCTATTCATTGGCTCCAGCACCAGTTACTACTCCGCCCGGACGGCGATGAATGGAGGGCTCGAGTGCATTCACTCACAGGCATATGCCGACTACAAGGACGATCAAGGACGTCCAATATACAATCCTCCAGCTCCACATACGCATATCCGGGTCCTAGCTGCTAAGCTTTAATAGCTCTTGACTCATTAGATGCAAACAAATCAAGATAATATATACCTACAGATATTTCTTTACAAAAAACAAGTGAATTTTCATATTTGATAAACGGCAAATTCATGCTAATCATTTAACCTTTCTGTGGGTTCTATTTTTCGTTTGGCAACATTCCAGCCGATAAGTAGCGAAGTGAGTAATAAAATGTTATTAATTGCTTAGCCAAAAATATTTAGCGATTTCTAAATATTCTTACGAGGCGGTTAGGTTGACTATCAAATCTGATCGGAATGACGTGTCAATTGATTTTCGCATTGATTCGCTCGGGCAGCTGGTCAATTTTTATCAGGATCTACAGTATCGATAAAGCAGCTCAATAATTTTAAAATGTTATTATGGTATGTGTTGTCATCAGAAGGAGTTAAGAAGCGAAATAGCAGTCAACAAAAGAACAGTGCCAGAATTTTAACCCCTAGTATTTAATTTTTTAACCTACTTTATATTTGTTTATTGAAAGTGAAAATAATCTATTTAAAATTAAAAAAAATCAAAAAAAAAATTAAATCATTTATTAAAAAAAGATACCTCAATTATTGTTTTTGCTAAACATTATCGCTAGTCAACATTCTCTCTAGGGCAGTGAACTTTAAATCCAAAGATTTCCCCGTCGGTTGCAATTATGATTTTGAGCGATTACTAATAGTAATAAATAATGTGATAAGCAATCACTAAGAGAATAATTTAACAAATTGGCAAGATAATCACTAGCATATAAAAGCAAATAATTTTCAGGCCCCTGTTCTATTGAAAGGAATCAGCGAACGCGCGATCACAATGACCTCCAACACAAAAGAAGGCGTCATAATACGCAGCATGGTCCTGGAGGACTATGAAAATGTGAAATTATTTATGAAGAAGGAGTACTTCACGGCGGAACCCTTGTGCAAATCCAGTGGTGAAGCCGTTCATCTGCAAAACGAGAAGGAGAACGATGCGATAAACATTTCGATGATCGCCCAGGGAACTTCCCTATTGGCCCTCGATGAGAACGACGGTGGCCGAATTGTGGGCTTCGTCCTGGCAGGAGCCGAACTCCCCGAGGATGTGGAAAGGAACTGCCGGATAGCCGAGACTCTGGAGGATAACGCTTGGGGTCGCATCTTTCGCATAATCGCCAAGGCCGAACACGAAGCCAATATTTTTGAGCGCTACGGCATCTCAAAGGCTCTCTACTCCCACGTTACCTGTGTGGCCGCCTCGATGAGGGGCAAGGGCCTGGGCTCCCGTCTAGCCGCCACTCTAATGGACCTTGGTCGGTCCAGGGGATTCCCCGCCATGGTGGCATACTGCACCAGCTTTTACTCCGCTCGCCAAAAGGAGGCCCTCGGTATGCAGTGCATTTATTCCCTCGATTACACCGACTATAAGGACGATCGGGGACGAGTGATCTTCACTCCAGCAGCCCCACACACAACGTTGCAAGTAATGGCCATAAAACTGTGACAGGGTTTTGAAAATCGAATCAAATATTTACCTATTCCTTTGGTTAGTAAATTGTAACTATTTTATTGGTCAGTGTAACAATGCATTATTTTTGTTTGTACATTTTTATAATTTCGTTTTTCAATTTAATATTTGTTTTTGCCGAATATTAATACTTTAGTCAAAGTAAGCGGCAAGTATTGATCGAAAGACTAAAAAAGCGCTATCCATGTTGTTAACACTTTTTGGTTTCATTTATATTTGGTTATCTTTTATTTCTTTTTCAAATGCGATTTTTTAAAATCTCGTTATTTTTTCGTCCCTGGTTTTGATAATCGTAACGTACATTGTGCATTCAAAACGTGAACAAAATGACGAAGTGGAAACAGTCTATTAATCGAATTAACTTTGCGCATTCCTAAGCGATAGTTTTCGCAAACTGACTATCGCCCACCACTGGCTGTCATTCGGCGACGTTTTTATAGTTTTTATATACCACTATATCTTAAGGCTTCCATAGGAATATTCAAACAAATATAAGAAAATTCATTGTAACTTTGTAGGAAGTAGGCGTTTTGATTTTTGACTTCTTAAAAACAAAATTTAAATAGAAACGCTGAAACTGGAATCCCTGGAACTGCACCGAGTGAGCATTACTTTATCTGCAAGGGTATATAAGCTTCGGCTGGCCGAAGGTAGCTTCCTTTCTTGTTTGGTTTCATTTATATTTGGTTATCTTTTATTTCTTTTTCAAATGCGATTTTTTAAAATCTCGTTATTTTTTCGTCCCTGGTTTTGATAATCGAAACGTACATTGTGCAGTGGAATCGCCTACATTCAAAACGTGAACAAAATGTCGGAGTGGAAACAGTTTATTAATCGTATTAACTTTGCGCATTCTTAAGCGATAGTTTCCGCAAACGGCTCTCTCTCTCTCTCTCTCTGAGTTACGTACTACTGACACTTACGTTTGCTTACGTTTTGACACTTACGTTTCTTGGTGATGGGACAAAAACATCGATTGTGTTAAAAAAACATCGATGTTTCTAGAAAATTTTAAAACATCGATGCATCGGTGTTTCCATCGATGTTTCTTCCACCTCTACCACCACTGGCTGTCATTCGGCGACGAAAAAAAAATCAAGAAAATCAACGTGCTTATTTTCCGCTTGGGATTTTGCCAGAGAAAACTAATCGAAATGGGCGTACAAGTGGTTCCAATTGCTAACGGTGATGGTAAGTGCAGGGCTCAAGCATTGAATTTCACCCGGGAATGCCGTGAAACACCGGCATTTCTAACCTAAGATGTGCATTTTCGCGATGCACAAGTCGGAAAATTACCAGCAACACTATGGTCGTCTCGCTCACACACATCCATTTTTGTATTCCCCGCCCGCAGGCAGCACCTTCCCGAAGAATGGGCAAAAGGTCACGGTTCACTACACCGGCACCCTGGACGATGGCACCAAGGTGAGTTAATTGGGTCCCCCAGTCAAAGCACTTTTAGCTAATTGAGGGTTTCTCCGTTTAATCCCGCAGTTCGATTCGTCGCGCGACCGCAACAAGCCCTTCAAGTTCACCATCGGCAAGGGCGAGGTCATCCGCGGCTGGGACGAGGGAGTCGCCCAGTTGAGCGTCGGCCAGCGCGCCAAGTTGATCTGCTCGCCGGACTACGCCTACGGCAGTCGCGGCCACCCCGGCGTCATCCCGCCCAACTCCACCCTCACCTTCGACGTGGAGCTGCTCAAGGTCGAATAGGCGAACAGGCGACCAGGCCGCCCGTTGTGTATACCCCCGTGCGAAATCGCAGGGGTTGCGGACCGGCGCACGGACGCCCAGCCGAAAGGACACCAAAATCGGAACCAGAACAATCCAGCAGCATTTGCCAACCCAGATAAAAACAAAAAAAGCACTCAAATCCCAGCTCTAAACTAGAACTAATTTAACCGCAATGGGAACGCATCTTCTACGCATACAAATAAACATTTATTCAAGTCAATGACAAGGGAATGCGTTTTATTTGTTAACTTATATGTAGGTTGTCTTGGAATAATTTATTCCAGTCAACATTTGGTATAGAGGAGTGACAAAGCTTCTTCGGGTTTTATGGTCTACATGGGTAGGTTGTAATATAAAATTTTATTATAAGTTTTTTTATATTTTCGAGTGGAAAAAGGCAGTTTAAAAAATGTTAGAGCCAGTTGATTGGAAATCCTAATTTGTAGGTATCTTTTTGAAAACCTAAAAATATTTATCCCAATTATCTAAAATTTGTAAAGCACATTTTTCAAGGGCTATAATTAATATTATCATATTATTAACTTCTTTGAATCAATGTATTTTGAGAAGTTTTTATTTCAGATTGAATTAATTGAAAATTATTCTTTTTAGTTTGAAAAAAACCTTTTATTTAATACAAAAAATGAGGAATTCATAATCATTACTTGTAATCATTACTTGTGGTTAAAGGTTGCAAAACTTCGTAGAATTAATTGATTTTGAGAAGTTTTTATTTCAGTTTAAAAAAATTGTAAAATTATTTTTTAATTTGAGAAAAACATTTTATTTAATACAAAAAAATGAGGAATTATATTATGCGCATACAAATAAGCATTACATCTCGTCAATGTTTGCAAAATCAAGCCTTGTACAATCCAACCTTGATCCCCTTCCAGTTTCCCCTCATCCCATCTTCAGTTCTTGCACACCACGTTCATGATCTGGTCAATAACATCGTAGCGCTCCTGCTCGTACTTCTGGGCATGCTTCAGCCAGTGGCCGCGCACCTTCTTCCAGCGGGCCACATTGGAGGAGAGCAGTTCGAAGGCACTGGCTCCCTCGAGCGCCTTCTCCCGCCTCTTTTCCTCCGGGCCGAACTCCAGGCGAGGCGGAATGATGGGCATATCCGTGGGCTTGGGCTGCGGCAGCTCGGTGAGCATCTTCATCTCGCCGCTGTTCAGTCTGGCGAGGATCTCCTCGCCGTTGTCCTCGCGTTTGGTGGCCGAAATCGAGCCATCCGTTTGAAAGGCGGCCACAGCGGGATTCCTCGGCTGATTGGCCATCCAGGCGCGGCAAATGGGGTACAAGGGAGTGCCGTCCTGGTACTTGGAGAGGTCCAGGCTGCGCTCGAACAGCCGCATCACATAGGACTCGCCGGGCGCCTTCTGGGCAGCTCCCACGCCCGCGGTCTTCTTGTACAGCACCCGGCGGGCCTTGATGCGTCCCCCGCTTCCGCCGATGACGACGGCAGCCGCGGAGGTCGAGGGCTTCGCGGTGGCGCCCGCCGTGACCGCCTTGACATCCGGCTCCAACTTCACCTGGTACTGGCGCTGCTGTTGCTGCTGCAGCAGCAGCTTCTTCGAGGGACGACCCCGAATGGGCAGATCCGACTCGGCATCGTCGTCCGGCGCTTGGTGGCTCGTCTCCGGCTTCTGCTCCTCCCGGCGGGACTCGCGCAGGCGGAGGGACATCTCCTTTTTCTTCGGCGTGGTCTTCATTTTACGAGATTTTCCTTTGCAGTGGAAAATTAAGGAAAAGCAATTTCGAATGGCAAAACAGAAATCAAACGGAATGGCAGCGACTTACAACACTGAAACGCGACCTCGTTGCTCAACACTACAAAAAATACCAAAAATACCAATTGAAGTGGCCATTTCTTATTTTAATTTTAAAAATTCAAACAATTAGCCCTTTTTAAATAAATTTTTAATTTTTTTAATATTTTTTAAACAAAAATTATAAATTAATAAATAAAAGCCTAATCTAATAAAATTTAATTTTATCAGGGTAACCCAAAATACAAAAAAGATTTGTATACCTATAAAAAAAAAATAAAATAACTTGACAAAATAAGTGACAAAATATGATACAACAAAAAAAAGTTATTTACAATTTTAACGGTATTTCGGTGAATATTTTAAAAATATTTAGTGATATTTCCCCCAACCTCGAGGCAAGTTGCGCACCTCTCACTCTGGTCACACTGCTGTTTTTGTGATCGCGATTTTTTGTGAACGACGTGAAAAATACGTTTAATTAAGTTTAGTGCGACGAGTAAATTAAGAAATAATATTGAAACAAAGCCGAGCTTTTGGGTGTTTTGTGCGCGGAGTTGTGAGTGCGGGAGAAAGGCGAAACGAAAGCACAGCCAACGAAGAAATCGGGGAAGGAAAGTGGGAAAAGAGCCACAGTGAAAAGCACCGAAATATCGAAACCACAAAACTGAATGCCAGAAAACAAACAAAAGGCAGCGGAGCAACAAAGGAAAATTAGCGAACGTGCGGTGAGTTTTAATTATTTGGTGAGTGGAAAAGGGGGGAAAAGGATGCAGAAGCGAATTGCGAATCTCTGGACTTTTCTCCTTCTGCTGGCACACACTCATGCGAGTTGCGCAGGTGTGGGTGGCTCTGCGCAGAGTGCAAATAACAAATTGTGAAAAACAACTCTCACAGACACACGTTCGTATGTAGATCACTGTGAGGTAGTGCAACAAATAAAAGCAATAAATAAACACATTTAGGCACGGGCAACAAGTTGTGAATGCGTTTTCCAAGGGGGAGGGGCCTTACAAAGTTTCCCAACATTTTACTTTTCAAATCGATCTTGGTTTTTTATTTTTTTTTATCTATGTACTATTGCGTAGCTGCCAATGTCACCTGTTTTGTACGCTCTCTCGCGCTCTCTCCCTCCCTCTCTCTTTCGCTCCCACACTGGTCGTAGCTGGTTTTTATCTTTTGCCGTTAACACAGCCCAGCGGGAATGTGAGAAGTTGGTTTTTGTGTTCTTGAAATCCTGTTCCTTTTTGCAGGCGGCGGTGTAGGGATAGATAATTTCTGAGCGCTAAATGAGGGTGGGTTTCTGAGTAGCATCAATATCAGGCCATTTATGCGCTGTGTGATTTCTGTGGCACTACGATTATAATATTTTTTAACAAAAAAATCACCAACTTATAATATTCAAAAAATCCTATGATTTACACCAAAACCAAAAGACTTGTTCTCACATTTAGTTTTAATTTTTAGTAATTTTAAAAGTCGTAGAAAAAATATTAATAATTGTTAATCAAAAAAATTAAACTATATAACATTATTATCATAATGTGTATAATGATAATATTAATTTGTTTTACTCAACATTTTTCAAATAATAATAAGGATGAATGTGGGATTCAACCAAATTATAGAGAAAAGCCACGGTAAGACGATTAAAATATTTGATCACATTTATCAAGGAATTACATTAAATTACAAAGAAAACTATTGTTGTTTTATACATTTTTAAACATTTTCTGTGAAATAAAATAATTTGATCGTCAGATCGTGGCCTAAGCCATTTTTAAGTGTTGTTAAAATATAAAAATTCGTGTTGGTGGTATTGATAACACGAAAAATGCCTAATATACCTATAATATACGTAACCTTTAATGATTACGGTCCCTGAAAAGTATTGTTTAAATATTTATTCGGCGCCAAAGTGTGACCCAACTTTACAACGAAATTTACCCCATGGTATTGTATGGTATGGTATTATCAAGAATATAATGCAGGGTCACATCATTTTTAAATTTGTTGGAAAAAGTGAAAAAAAAGTGAAAATAGTTAATTTTAATCTAAAAAACAATAAAAAGGTGAGTGATAAAATGAATTTTGTCTTTTTATAACCTTTATTTCAGCGTTACAAAGGTTAGTATCACAGATATTTTCGCCATTAATAAATATACGCCTCCGGATGCTATCTTCAACACAAATTCTGCATTTCAGTGACACTTGAAATGTTTTTAATCTTTACCAGTGGTAAATGGTGTGAGGTGTTCATTAAATGGTTGTATAAATAGTACTTCAGTACTAACTTAGTTGTTTAACTTAATCAAAATATTACATTTATTTCAGCCAGGCCGACTGAGACTTCTTGGGACCAGAAGTGTTGCGCCTGCGTTTGTCATATTTTATTTTTTCTTCTCATAGTTTTTAATAAAGATACCCGACATAAAACAACTGAACAGATGGTAAATGATCGGCCATGGCAAACCAGGCATAATTTCTGGAGAGATCCTTTAATTTTGTGCGGAGACCTAATAATGGTAATTACTCTTATTATTATTCCAGGTCTTACATTCATATCTAAATTATGTTTGATATTTTCAGAAGACAGACAAGAAATGGATATCAAAGTACTGCATTCGGCCAAGCAAAACCCGGGAATGCTTCAGGCATTAAAAATTTGTAGTTCCAATGCTTCGATTGTAAATATTATTAATAAATACACAAACAAATATTACAAAAAACATGATTTTTATTGTGGAAAATCAGATACTGCAAAGCAGTGCAAAACCAAAACTGCGAGGGTCTGGAAAAACCAAAACTGGGAGGGTGTAGAAAAACAGATATTGCAAGTGGAGGAAAACCATAACTGGGTACGTGTGGAAAATCTATAATGCGGGAAGTCGAAAAACCAGTGGATTTTGTCCTGCATTCTTCTGCCAGAGATCCAGATAGAAACCTCATTTCCCCCTTACTTTTTGTGTCACCCCCGTGTATTTTGAAACCAGAGATGGAAGAAATGTAAGGGGTGAATGAGGTTTAGTCCCTTCCGCTTCTATGGAGAAACCTCTTGAAAATATGTTATTTTCCAGAGGAATTTTCCCGGTGGGAGTCTACGTGTCTCTTTCGCACTCGCACTGGTATATGGGTGCGTATGTCTGTGCAAGACTGCACGTAACTGTATGCTACGTATACGTATTTCCGCCTATTGATAACGGCTAAAACTCCCTCGAAATGGCCTTAATTCTTTTCGAAATATGTAAACGAAATGTTCGGGTACATCCCCCGCACCGATAGCAGTCTACCACTTTACCCCTCCTAACGCCTCCGATTCTAATCGCAAAGTGCAAATATTGATTTTCTAGCTACATACATATGTACATTCATACATTGGATTCTCTACCACTATCAATAACAATAAGCCATCACTGTTCTTTTTGTTGTTTCGGTTTAGTTTTCGTTTTTAGAAAACAAGTTCACACATTTGATTTGCACTTGTTCTACGCTAACACAACAATTTTAATAGGTTATTAGTTTTTAATATCCAATATTTGTTTTAACTTAAAACCAAACAGGCTATTGTTACCATTCCAAATTATGTAAAATATGTAAACTCTTCTTTGTATATTTAACCTATTTCTTATTAGGCTGCTACATTTTTCTTTGTGTAGTTTATTGTTTCTGTTTCGTTTTGTGCCTTTGTTTATGTGGCGCTTTTGTTGTAATTGCGGGAATTTCCCGGCATTTGCACAGTTGAGAGTGCAAATATAAAGCAGAGAGAGAATAAATCATCTGTTTGCCATTATCTCTATTTACTCGCAGTTTTTCGGAGATAACTCTGCCTTTAAACAACAACTTAATCTAAAACTTAATGCATATTAAGAGCATTAAAAGAGGCAAGCAACCACAAATTGACTTTACGGCTGATTAATCTTTTAATTTTCGTTGACTAAAAATGACGTATGTTTATAAAGGAAATGACCAACAACTTTGTATCAACTTAAGTCAACTTAAATTTTTTTCAAATCATTTTTCTACAAACCTAAAAATGTACAAGTTTTGTTTAAAATCCTTCTACAAATCATCTACAGTTTTCAGATCATTCATGAATTTAAAATTCTTATTGTTGAAGCAAAAATGTATCATTAAAAACGATTTTATTAGAAAAGTAGCCTTTTTTGTTTTATTTTATATCTAGAGTTGTATCCAACCAATATAAATGATTTACTTTTAATATTTCACTTTAAAACATTCTTAAATTAGGCATTAGTCTTTTTTGCTTTATACTAAACCCATTTCTTTTAAAACAGACCCACCAAAAGTTGACTAATTTACTGTGTTAGATCGCCTTTCAAATACATTATCCATACAATTCCAATATCTTAAAATTCTGAAAGAAAAATACACACTTGACTAACTACTGTACAGTATATACTCGCGTCCACAATGAAAACTTTCCCATCAATTCAAATCTATCTTATCGCTTGCAATTGTGTTATTTTTTTGAGGGGGTTGAGGGGAGGGAAGTGTGTATATGTAGTTCCCTGTTGCGAGGAGACACAAATGTCGCGATAAGGCGGGCTTCCCCCCGCAAATCCCCACCTCACCTGGTTGGATTTGGACATCGACTAAAAATAACTCCGCTTTGATTATTTGCACATTTTTTGAAAGGAAAATAGCGACGGCCAGGGAAATGATCATAAATAAATAAGAACTGGACTAAATGGGATAGTGTCAACGGGAGACAGTCGAAGTGTTTCACGTTGACTTTCCATTCCCGAACCCATATCCATACCCATCCCCGGTTCCCCTGCCCCTCCGATTCCGATTCCCATGCCCATATTCAATTCTCGAAGTCGGCAATGACGTCAAGGCCTGACGTCTGCAGAAAATTCCGCAAAACGCCTCTTCAAATTATTGGCGAGGCAAGAAAAGCAAAAGAAAAGCGCCGAGCACCAAAATACAAAATAAAATTATTTTCGTTCCATTTTTCGTCTTTTGGTATTTTGTGTGCTGCTTCCATTTCATTTCATGTCTTTGCATTTGATTTATAATTTTCACAATTCCACATACTTTTTGTTCCTCTATCTCGTTTTATTTAATTTCCAAGTTGTTTTGTTGTTTCAACACAAAGTGAAAGTTGTTTTCCATGTTATTTACTGTAGCCTCTTCTTGGGCCATCTCTTATTTTGCTAGTTCTTTTTGTCCATATGTTTTGTGTTTCAAAACCAAGTTGAAGGTGCGGGAAGGACGCCCCCAGTACCCGTAGTTCCTTTCACAATTTATTTTTGTATACTAAAATATTTTTGGCGATTTTTTGTTATTTATATATATTTATTTTTTGACATGCCAGACAGCGAGATTTCCGGTCAATATGCATCGATACCTCAAAGTCTTTGAGGGCGCCAAGACGGCATGGTAAATCCCCAAGTCCAGCCAAGATTTTATCAGGCTTATATTAGATTGATAGACAGAAAGATTACAAGTATGCCTGGCTGTAAATCTAACAAAACAGTTTGATTGGGGAATTCAAAGAACATAAATTCAAGAATTTTATCTTGCTTAGCATCTTTTAGAGAAGAAAGTCTCAAGCCCTATTAAAAGGTTTTAAGCTTTCCAATAAATTTAACATTCCTAATTTATGTATTGCTTAAATTGATAAATAAATTACTAACAAGGTGCGAGTATGAATTCCCACATCTCTAAGTATCGAAATGTAATCATTGGAAATTCCCATAAGACAATTTCATGTAAATCAGAAAAAGAACACGCGCTCACATCAGTTCCACCATCGTTGTGCAAAGGCATTTTAATGAATGGAAATTTTGCACAACTAATTACAACAGTTTCCCCTACAGTGCCACCACCCATCGAATTTTCACTCCCTCACAATCCAAAATACCTAAACAATCGTGGGCTGCCATAATTTTAATGACTTTGTAAACTTTTTATTATTTTTTTTTTCGTTTTGTATGTTTTTGGCACACAGTGCGAACTTTTATTTGTTTTTTCTTGTTATTATTGCTCTTAGCAGGTTTTATGTTTGTTTTGTGTGTCCTCGAGAAAAACACAAAAAACACGAACTAAAGAAAAAGACAAATGATCTTTTACCTGTAGAATAGGTATATGTCTAAACAGTGCGTAGCAAAAATATAAGTATTAATATTTACTTAGTAACCTATGCAGAAACTTAAAGTATATTTAAAAAAAATATATTTTTTAGTCTGCACAATTGTAATTTTTAAATTATTTTTAAAAAATATGTATTTGTTTAAAAGCCCTGTTTTTTTTATTAATTTAATGGTGAACTAAGGATTTAAAAGTGTTCTAAAAGTAATCCTCCACATCTAAATCCCTACGAAACTTAAATTTCCACAAAATGTAGTTCATGACAATATTAATTCTGTAATATTTTTTTATTTATTTGAGTATCATTTAAAAGGAACTTAGTCAAATGTTATTCTCGAAAACAAATATTAAAAACCAATAAAGTTAGATTATACTTCAAAAATTAAATTAAATTTACCGCACTGTATTTATGTGTTTGCATATGAACATATGTATCCATAGCATTATCATTCCACACGAGTACTCTCAATTTCTGATAGGTATATGTATACTAGGGGCTGCGAAATATTTGACGTCGATTTCCGATTTTCTGGCTTGTGCATTCTGGGCCCCGAGTCTGTATGGGTGTATCTCTATCTCGCCTATCTGCCCTGCATATATCTGGCTAATTGTGAAGGTCGTTTACGTCTGCAGTCGATCGCCTCATTCTTGTTGTTGTTTGTCTGCCACCCGCTATAAGGAATAAAAAGGGGGAAAAAGAAAGGCAGACGAAGCTGGCAAACAAAGCGAAGCAATCGAAAGAGCACACAAAATTAATTTTCATTGCCTCCCTATCGACCCCCTAGCGGCTCCTCCCCTTCCAATTTGATCTCTTTTCCCCAAGAAATTCCTGGCAAAAAAACGAAGAAATTGTTTATATTTATACGCTAAATATTTTCAAATATCAGATCGCAATTTACGTGTTCCGCTCATCCGCCTATAAGTACCCCACAGAATGATGGTGGAATTTTATGGAGCAACGAGAGAGCCGCAAGAAAAAAGACAAGAAGAATCGTTTTCATCATATTGTGGGGTTTATCTTTAATAGCTTCTTAATTTTCCTGGCAACTTAAAAATGTTGTTATCACGGACGGAAATTATTTGGCTTTGGTTCTAAAACTAACACCAACTGGACAGTGCGAATTATAGATAAAATTATAATTTATTGTTAATGTTTTGCTGGCCAATTTTAAAGGCGCCATCGCTGTGAATTTAGTGGTTTATATTTTAAATTAATTATACATTTTTTCTTATAGATATTAGTGTCTCGGACATGGTTTGGTTTCGGTTTATTATTTGTTTTTATTTATTGTGTCACAAGAAGGTGGAGGATGCGAGGGCGGTTCTAATACTTGGTTAAGCCATTGGCTAATTTAAGCGATATTCTTTTGGTCGCTGATGGATAGCAATTAAATGTTTATCCCACTTGATGGGTTTTCGTTTTTTATATATTAATTTCCTCCTCCTTTAACTCTTTCACCTCAGCTAGCATATCATTAATTTTTTGCCATTATTTTTCTTTTTTCTTAAAAGATTTTTTTCTATATGTGCGAGGTCTTGTTGTTGTTGCGATTTTTTTTTTTCAAATATTTCATTCAATTTTCCTAGCTTTGCTGTGTTAGTGTGAAACACCCACACAAAAATGTATTTTTATACAAGAGAGGAAAAGAGAAAGAGCCAAATTTCTTTTACAGATTGGTATTGGTGTGGCAAAAATATTGAATGATTTAATTGATTCGTTACGGGTTCTTTTATTTTCTTACATTTATTGTGATATTTTCAACGTATCAAATCGCGTTTGTTCCACGGTGCGTATGTGTGATTACAAAGACAGAAATTATATTATTGGTAATATTTATTGAATTTACATTTATAGTTTGCACTTCAATAATTTTCTCGGGAATAAATGTTTAATATATGTTTTTGTTTACGCTCTCCCAAACATTTCCCACACACAAGCATAAGTATATCTCTCTATGCTCATGATTATTTCAAGATTTTTAGGCTTTCATTCTCGAAAGTGTCTGATATTTGTTTTTCAGTTCTTCGCTGGCATTTAAAGCGTTCAAACGCGTTCGTAGCAAACTGATTTTTGAAAGAGTTTTTCTTGAAAAGTGTGTGAGATTTTCACAATTGACGAAATGAAAACGAATATAATAAATATAAATTGTTATTTTTATTGTGCTTAAAACAAGAATACAACATATAAATAAATACTATCTGATCAGATTTCTAAATATGAAAATAAAGCGTTATTAATATTGAAAATAAATCCATACAAATAAAAACAAAAACAAAAGTTTTAGTGAGCGTCAACTTCTTTAAAAACAAATACAATAATAAAAAAGTGTACTTAAGTGATAGTTTTAAAAATCCAAATATTATGGATTTAGATTAAAAAATAATTTTAATATTACCTAAAAACTTAAAAAATATTAATTGTCGAAAAAAATTTCGAACAAAAATATTTGTTAATCGACAACTGGCAAATCTTCATTTTAAAAACCTATCATATTTGTATAAAATGTAAGTTTTAAAAGAATTAATCTAAGCAAGTCTACATGGTCAACAAAGAATTAAAATAAAATATAATATAATAATTAAAGGGGAAAAAAGTTTTTATTTATAAATAAATGCGAGTGTCGATTACATGGATATCCAGCATAGTTTAACTTTATCAGCGAAATTAGGCGCCAATAGCTTATCTATTCCAACCATCGATAGTATTTACTATATAACGCGGCTGATTATAATTATTTATTTTCGCCATCCTTGACAATGGCCGATTCTGTTGGTCAGTCAAAACGAGATATAGACAATATGGCACGGCACGGCTAAGTTGTGTCATAAATATTTTTAAAACCCCGTGTCATTTCGCCAGAGATCGCTCTTCGCCTCTGCTTATCCGCAGCTTTTTTATTATTTCGAAAAAAATGATAAATAAAATAGAAAACTGCTTCTAACCCGCTTAGTTAATGTTCTAAATCGGGCAATGGAATAACCCTGAGTGGGTGAACCGAGAAATCGATTTGTTTTCCCCCTGGTAATTGAATTAGAGCAAAGCACCTGACTGATGACTGTTTTTGCATTTTCCCAGGTCTCCAGCTGTGACAGATGATGGCCTAAAATGGCGGCTACACCACCAATGCCGCCCGGATCAAACACCCACCAATTGAATGGCAAACCGAACGCGAAGGGCAACCCCCTAGCCGAGGCAATCAATCAGCACTTTCAGCGGAAGAACCAGAACCGCAGTCCCAACCCCAACCCCAATCAAAACCCGAACGCCAGCACTCCCGTCAGCCGCAGCGGGAGCAATGAGCAGCTGGAGCTGCTGGATCACCCATCGCATCCGCAGCAGCAGCAGGAAGCCGCCGGTGGCAAGGCCAAGCCCAGTTGTCATTGCACCAACATTAGTATTATGCACCTCTTCCATGAGATGAAGCAGGAGTTCCCCACGATACCCGATGCCATTGTGACGCAATGCGTCAATGAGAATTGCCATCAGCGCGACAACTGCATCCAGATGTTGAGGAAGGAGCTAGCCCTGCATCCCATCGCAGTGCAAAGTTATCCGGCCAAGGTGTTGCAACAGCAGCAGCAGCAGCAGCATCAGAACAGGCAGGCCAAGCCGCCCACACCACTGAAGCCTTCGCGGGTGGCACCACCGCAGCCGGAAGTGGGCCAAAGCAATGGAGTGGTTACTCCGCCACATCCCAGGCCGCGACCCACCACGCTCAATCTGCAGCGTCAGTTTAGCACCCAGCTGCAGCAGAAGATCCAGCAGCGCCAACAGCGTCAGCAGAGGGACAACCAGCCGCCCCAGCTGACGCCCACGTCCTTGAGCAAGCCGCTGCGCCGGGCACCGCCCCTTCCGCCGCCGCCGAAGCCCAAGCCCGGCAGCTTCTCCAACGATTCCTCCTGTCTCACCAGTCCCATGAGCTCCAGCGAATCGGAGCTCTCGCTCAATGCGGTCTCCTTATCGTCGCCTACGTCGGCGGCAGCAGCAACAGCGGCTACAGCGGCTATCGCATCGGCGCAACAACAACCCTCGCCCGTGCGACATCGCTCAGTCATTACGCTCCAGCCAGAGCCGCCGTACGCTCGCGACTTTCGCAGCATTGACTTTCCGCCGACGACGACGACGTGTACGCCGCCACTACCCTCGCCCAGCTCGGCAGCATCACCAGGTGTTGCTGCTGGCGGACGCAAGAGCTTCACCTCGCTTAATCTCACCCTGCGCCAGCCGACGGGATCGGCGCAATCGGCCATCGACATCACAGCCGGCCCGGCACCCAGTGGCCAGGGCAGCGGGATCACCTACTCCAGCGTCAGCTTTGATGCGCGCCGGGGAACCCACAAGAATTTCCAGCTGACAGTGACGGACGAGGGCAGTGTCTTCAGTGCGGGCTGCATTCGTCCGAGAACTTCGTACGCCTCTGCTTGTGAACCGGTGGCCAGTGTTCCGGCGAATCAGCAACCGCAGCCGCCACCAGCAGCACTGCTGGCCGATGGACTTGGAAGCGCCGATATGGACGTCTTCCCATATCCCACGCAGGAGCAGAACCACATTGTGGCCTCCAACTACAGTAACAACCATGCGGCCAGCAATAATAACAACAACGGGATCAGCAGCAGCGTGGACAGCAGTCCCACCATGCCGCTCTACGAAGGAGTCATGGAGGAGTGCGATCGCGAAGGTGGGTTTATGTTTTTGGAAATCATTTCTAAAGGAATTTCCGTACTTAATAGGGCACACGTGTCTGTTAAAGTTTTTTTATTATTATACTCTAGGAAAAGATAATGTACATTTTATTAGAAGTTTGAAAAGCAAGACAAGTTATATTTCTAGCATATGAATGTCTATCTGTTTTGTTTCTAGGCAAACAATTGTCTCTATTTTAATCAAACACATTTTTTGAACTGAGTCTGATATGGGTTATAGAACAGCTGGTGTGTGTAGAAGAAAACAACCAGTTGTCATTTATTTCATCATCATAATTCAGATAAGTTATTGTGAAAATTACTATTACAATTCTCGACACTTGAAAAAAAAATTTTAAAAATTCTGAACAGAGTATAGCTTTTACGTTAAATGATCTATTCATGTATACAATTATTTGAATTTAGTATTTATATTTCTATCATTTGAATGTCTTTTTGTTTTGTTTCCAAGCAAACAATTGTCTCAATTTTAATCAAACACTTTTTTTGAACTGAGTCTGATATGGGTTATAAAACAGCTGGTGTGTGTAGAAGAAAACAACCAGTTGTCGTTTATTTCATCATCATAATTCAGATAAGTGGAAATTACTATTACATTACTCGACACTTGACAAACATTAAAAGACTTTTAAAAATTCTGAACAGGGTATAGCTCTTTACTCTAACTTCAAATGATCTATGTATACCATTATTTGACAAGAGTATCCCAAGCATTCTACCTTCTTGTTATTATGGTGTTCCAACGCGCGTTGGATTCCATTCCTTATCGACCAGACGACGTCGTAGTTGGGCTCCACAGTTCGGTTATCAGAGAGCAGGTTCGCCCAATATTGTTTACACTTGATAACGAAATTGAATTACGCCCTGAAATAGAATTAGCGGGAACTCGGGTGTCTTGCGTTCCGCAAACGTGGAAACTGAATTATATGGTTTCTAGGGATGGGTTCAAGGCGCAACAATGAAGGGGTTACCCGGAGTCATGATCGATGTTAGGTGTGTTCAAGATATGCGTTTAAAATCAGTGGTCAATGATTGCGAACTTTTAATTATAAGGCATGAGGACTTTATAATATATGGAGTAACATATTGACGTCATGAAATACAGGGCAAAATTAGTTATCACTGAGAATTAGAGAATAGAGTAGTGAAACAAAAACAGCAAGTCATATTATATGACATTTTTTACTGCATTGCAATCGTTATAATTTGTTTTTACCGATATAGATCTTTTATAAAGATATTTTAGAATAACATTAAATCAGGCTTGTTTAAACTTTTCTTGCAAAAAATTTGCCCCTTTGCGTATTACAAAGATACAGCAAAACTGATCCATATCAAACGCCCATGCGTTCGGAATTCTATAGATTGAAATGTCTTTTGTCTGGCTTTGGCCATGTTTTCCTCGATTTCGCACCCTCTCTCTTTTCACTTTATTTATACGCTTTTCGCTTTAGCCGCTCTTTCTGCGACGTTTTCAATTTGTTTTCGCCCCGAGACGTTCAAGTTCAGGGCGAAATGTGTGGGTGGTAATGCCAGAGAGGAACAAAGGAAAAGAGAAGAAAGCGTTACGGGAAATCTCTCCGTTTGATCGGCTAAGGTATTAAGCATACGCAGCGTGGGCCCAAAGGCACTTACACTTTGACATTTAATCACGCGACGCAATCACGAGGAAACACTTTAAATGTCGTTCAGATGGAGGGAGAATTTTCCACTTAGGCGCAAAATTTTTTGGAAAGGCCATTAATGAATTAACTTATCAATTAAGATTCCACCGTGACATTTAAATGCAGATCGGAGATCCCTTGGCCCACTGCCCTCTTGGCTATTTCCGTTGGAAATCTATCAAGCGTCTAAAAATATTCAAATGAACAGTCGCCCAAATCAAAACACAGAATGCATTGAAGAGACTTGGTCTGTGTGCTTTATTTGTTTTCATTTATTTTTACCTATTTTTTCGTAGGAATAAATTATTATTAGATTGATTTTTGGTTGTGCTCGCTTGCGCATTTTCACTAAATTTATCTATTTAAATATAAATTCTGTTTATGAAGCCCCTCCTCTCGCTCTGCGGCAGCCGTGCGGGTGGTGGGGTAATTATTTTTAGCAACAAAACAGAGTAATAAAATGCGAGGCGTTAGACAGTAAAAATAAATCTAGCCGCGGGGAATATTTGGAAATGCAAAATGCTGAATGGCCCCTCACTTGTTGCCAAGAGCCAGCGAAGCCATACATTCCGAAAGGCAATCGATTGATCAATTTCCCTCCATCTCCTATTTTTAGTCCATGCCGCCACCATCGAGCGACAGAAGCAGCGGCGCGACAAGCTGGCCAATGCGCTGAGGGACAACAAGAAGCGGCTGCTGGTCCTGGAGCAGGAGATCAACATCCTGACCGAGCCGGTGCCGGTGGGCGAATCTGAAAGACTGGACAGAGATATCTTGCGACTGACTGAGGACTGCAAGCGGCTGCTAGACTGCATAAACGGTAAGAATGTTGCTTAATAATCATGGTTCTTTCACCGCTAACTTTTGTTTTATCTACCCCACAGAACCGCAGGCGAATGGCTCTGGTCCCGCTGCCAATCCCGCCAGCAACGTGCCCCAGCAGCAGCAGCCACAGCCATTCTCGCGCCAGCATCAAGGTGTTCGCGTCCAGGCGCCGCCCAATTCACTGCGCCTGCACTCGGTGCCGGCAGCGCCCACCTCCCAGCCGGCCCTGGATTTCGGCCAGCACCACAGCAGTGCTCCGACCTCGGCCTGCCTGACGCCGCAGCAGCAGCAGCAGCAGTTCCAGCTGCAGCAGGAGCCGCCGCCCACGTACGCCCAGTACTATCAGTTCCAGCAATATCTGCAGCAGCAGCGACAGCAGCAGTTGCAGCAGTTGCAGCTGCAGCAGCAGCATCAGCAACAGTTGCAACAGCAACAGCAGCCACCCGCTCAGCAGGAGGAGGAATTCCTGTCCGACTCCGACGTGGACGAGGAGGAGGAGACGCTGGACTCGTGGGCCTGCAACATGTGTACATTCCGCAACCATCCGCAACTAAATATTTGCGAGGCCTGTGAGAACGTTAGGATCCAGCCGGGTATGATACGCATTGTACCCAACGGAGGCGGGGCCGCTGCTGCTGCCGCTGCTGCCACGCCCCCCGGCAACCTTGAGCAGCAACAGCAGCCGCCCCAGCAGCCGTACGCCCTGCATACATAACCCAAAAGCTGCAGCAAACGTGCATGAGCTTCCGCTTCCGATTGTTCCTGCATGCTCGACTTTGAAACTGTGATAGCATTTAAATTAGTAGGCGGCAGGTTCATTATCCACTGCATGGCTCAAACTGAAAAACAATGCGAACGGAGACCGCGGCCTGTTTAAATTATTTTACTTCATTTATTTTAATTGCAATTGCCTCAGCCTCAGGCCGTCTATATTGTCAGTAATATCTAACCGTTTTAACTAGCTTTAAGCCAACGAAAAAACAGAGTTTATTATTTTTAGCCACCTTAAAAATAAATAAAGAACGTTATTTAAATATTTACACAAGCTTCGCCAGTTGTTGCCTTACACGTTGATTGGTAAAACGACAAAAAATATACATGTGTTTGGGCTTTGGCCAAATGTTTACTTTTAGCGCCTGTGCTGAGTCGTGAGGATATACATATAACTCTCTCGCCAGGAGAAAATCGTGAGTATATCTGTAACAGTCCACAAATGGCACATCCGTATTGATCGATATCCCTCGCCGTGCAGGTATTATACACTCCTGGATACTATCATGACAGTCGGCCAAACGATCACCATGAGAGCATAGACAACTCCAGAGATAACTGAATTTCGCCTTATTTTTCGAAAACTTACTCTAAGAAATTGTAAAAAGTGTGAGGAAATATTTAGCCCAAATGCTGCTGGCAGCAATTATTGTATTTTCTTTAAGAGATAAGCCACTATCGTACTTTGAATCCGTAAGAAAAGACTTTTAGTAACGTCGAATCAACTGAAACTAGCTAATGTTAATCGTAAAGAAACCGTGTACATTTTGTAAATATTTGCTAAGCTAACAGATAAATATGAGTAAGAGTTTTTCTACAAGAGAAAAGGAAGAGGTCAACTAGCAAAGGAAATTTTGTAAGCTTCTCGAAAGCAGCATATTTAACGACATTAAACTGTAAATTAAAAGAATGATGAGTGATTTTATTTGGTCTTCGAAAAGGTTATGTATCGACCTGGTTTTCTGAGGTAAATATTTATTTTTCTTAGGAAACGACACCAAAAAACTTCGCTTTAATTTTTTTTATTTCTTCATAATCTGCGGTTTATTTGGCAACGAGATTTTTAAATTCCATTTAACAAAGAAAATTAATGGTTATGATTGTTCTTCAAATAAATAATAACTTTCAACGGCTCTTAACGTCTTTCGGTCGTCAATCTTGATTGTTAAATTGGAGAAAACAATGTTATAAACACAATTTCTTTAGCAAAAGTATAAACTTACCAGAATCGTATTCCAAACCGAAACCGACAAAATCTCCATTACTGTCGTAGGGCCACGAGGGATGAACGTAGCCATAAGACGGATCGAATTCCGAGTCGGAATCTATGTCTTCATCGCTTAGGAAGCCCACATCGAACATGTCATGATCGCTAAAATAATCATCATCGTCATCCCCGGAGTCGGTATAGAGATCATTAGAGTCATCCGAATCGAACTCTTCCTCATCCTCAATAATGTGGGCAAAATCCATGTTTAAATCATATTCGGGGGAGGAAGTGCACTTTAATTGGATAATATCCTCAGGAACTTTATCAGGATGCTGAAAGTGTATTATATTGGAAGGTTTAATATAAACAAAAATTTGTAGTCTTTGGAATATCAAAAAAGACAATGCAATAAAATCATAAAAATACTTTTCAGATTTCAGGTGATTTTGAAAATCTCCAGATTTTACATGAAACAGTCCCATATTAAATACCAAGATATTAGAAGGTTTAATATCAACACAAAATGGTTATACTATGTTGGAATTTCAAAGAAAGGCAAGGCAGTGGCTAATAGTATAAAAAAATTATAAAATTTTAAAAACCCTTATTTAGATGTTTAGGTGTTTTTGAAAATCTCCGAATTTTTCAGAAATGAAACTGTCCCATATTAAATACAAAGATATTAGAAGGTTTAATATCAACAAAAAATGTTTATACTATGTTGGAGTACCAAAAAAGGCAAAACATTGGCTAATAATAATAATAATTATAAAAACACTTTTTTAGATTTCAGGTGTTTTTGAAAATCTCCAGATTTTACAGAAATGAAACCGTCCCATATTAAATACCAAGATGCCCAGGGAAATATACCAGATTTGGATTGCGCAAGTTCGCGATGATGGGAGAGATCGGTATTGCGGCCACACTTCACACTCGGTCCAAAGGGCGATTTAACAAACAATTGGCAGCTATGTGGAGATATACGATCCTGAACAGCAGCAAATTGGCAGGAAATGCCACATTCTGCAGGCGAGTAGCGACGCACAGTCCCAAACTGGGGGCGGAGACCAACAAAAACAAGGAGAAAGCGAGTGAGAATGAGTCCTTCATGGCCAACATATTCCGTGGGTCGCTGGTCTCGAGCCAGGTGTTCCCCTATCCGGATGTCCTGACCGCGGATCAGAAGGAGTTGACCAACAGCCTGATCGACCCCTTCGAACGCTTCTTCTCCGACGTCAATGACGCCGCGCGGAACGATGCCAATGCCAAAATAGATGACACCACGGCGACGGCTCTGTGGGAACTGGGCGCCTTCGGCATCCAGGTGCCCTCCGACTTCGGAGGCCTCGGCCTGAACAACACCCAGTACGGCCGTCTGTGCGCCATTGTGGGCGCCAATGATTTGGGACTGGGCATCACGATTGGCGCCCACCAGAGCATCGGTTTCAAGGGAATCCTCCTGTACGGCACGCCGGAGCAGAAGGAGAAGTATCTGCCCAAGGTGGCCGCCGAGCAGGTCTACGCCGCCTTCGCCCTGACGGAGCCAAGTTCCGGATCAGATGCCGGATCCATTCGCTGCCGCGCCGTCAAGAGTGCCGATCAGAAGCACTACGTGCTGAATGGCTCTAAAATCTGGATCTCCAATGGAGGAATCGCCGAAATCATGACCGTGTTCGCCCAGACCGAGCAAGTGGACCCAAAGACGGGCGAGAAGAAGGACAAGGTGACGGCCTTCATTGTGGAACGTTCCTTCGGAGGCGTTACCAACGGTCCGCCGGAGAAAAAAATGGGCATCAAGGCGTCGAACACGGCCGAAGTTTACTTCGAGGATGTTAAGATTCCCGTGGAGAATGTGCTCGGCAAGGAGGGCGACGGCTTTAAGGTGGCCATGAACATATTGAACAACGGTCGCTTCGGAATGGGAGCCACGCTGTCGGGCACCATGAAGAAGTGCATCGAGTTGGCCACCGAACATGCCAACAATCGAGTGCAGTTCGGCCAGAAGCTGAAGAACTACGGCTCCATTCAGGAGAAACTGGCCCAGATGAACATTCTGCAGTATGCCACCGAATCGATGGCGTTCACCATCTCACAGAACATGGACGCGGGCAGCAAGGACTACCATTTGGAGGCCGCCATCTCGAAGATCTACGCCTCGGAGTGCGCCTGGTATGTGTGCGACGAGGCCATTCAGATTCTCGGCGGCATGGGTTACATGGTGGACACTGGCCTGGAGCGAGTGCTGCGCGACCTGCGCATCTTCCGCATCTTTGAGGGCACCAACGACATTCTCAGGCTGTTCATCGCCCTCACCGGCATCCAATATGCGGGCTCCCATTTGAAGGAACTGCAGCGTGCATTTAAGAATCCCTCCGCCAACCTGGGACTGATATTCAAGGAGGCCTCCAAGCGCGCCGCCTCGACTGTCGGCCTCGGCGGCACCGATCTGAGTGTCCACGTGGTGGATGAACTACTGCCCTATGCCAAGAAAACGGCCCATTGCATCGATCTCTTTGGTCAGTCGGTGGAGGAGCTATTGCTGCGATACAACAAGAACATAATCAACGAACAGATCTTGCTAACACGACTGGCAAACGCGGCCATTGATATATACTCAATGGTTGTGACGCAATCGCGATCATCTCGCGCTGTCAAGCTGAATCTTCCAACTGCCCAGCACGAGCTCAACATGACGAAGGCACTGACCATTCAGGCCTCTGATCGAGTGATTAAGAACCTGCAGGCGGCCACCTCCAGGCATCACAGAGCTCTGAATGAGAAGATTTCGACAATCGCTCAAACTACTCTGGAAAACGGCGGAGTAAATACGACTGGAATCCTAGATCAAAATTAGAGAAATACACTTTTATACGAATTTAAATCCTTTGATTGTTCCCTTAAATGCGATTGCAAATAAAGTCTTGTAAATAATGAAATACTAAGAAATAAAGTTCAAATCACTCAGTTACTAAAGGGCTACTAAAGTTAGTAAGAAAGTAAGCAATAACAAGAGAGAACGCTATAGTTGGGTTGGTGTCCCGACTATCTAATACCCGTCACTCAGATAAAGGGAGTGCAAGGAAGATGGATATATAAAATTTGTTTGATTGCGCATAACTTTTTAATGAATACATTTCGGTAGGTATAAATATACACAACAAAATTGCATTTATAGTTCTCAGAAATCTTTAAAGGTGTGGGCGCCAGACACATTTTAAAATCGTTAGTGGGCGTTAGAGGGGGCGTGGCGCTCGGCTGAAATAAACTTGCCCTGCGTAGGAAGTCCAAGAATATGTGTGGGATATGTCAACCTTCTAGCTTTTGTAGTTTCCGAGATCTCAGCGTTCATACGGACGGACATGTCTATATCGACTCGGCTAGTGACCCTAATCAAGAATATATACACTTTATGGGGTCGGAAACGCTTCCTTCTCCCTTACACACTTTTGCACGAATACAATTACCCTTTTACTCTACGAATAACGGGTATAAATATGGTAAAATAGAGAATACTTTTCTTTAGACACTTACCGTTTTCAGGAGCCTTTCCATGTCGTTGCCCAGGAAAAAGGTCCACAGCTGGATGGGTAACTTGCGCTTCATCTCCTTGTTGGCCATTTCCTGGCGCACCTTGGCCACGATGCCCAGCACTAGTTTCTCGCTTACCTCGGGGTAATCCTCCAGTCCCACATAGCACAGCTTGCGGCAGGCACCGAACAGTTGCAGGATCGCGGTGTCGCGGACATTGGCCGAGTGGCGGAGGGTGAATCGCTCCAAGGCGACCAAACCAGATAGCTCGTCCAGCGAATTTTCAGTCTCAATGCGGGAAATGGCCAGAGTGCGAAGTCCAACTAGCTTAGCAACGTTGGCAATCATTTCCCCGGTCAGATGTGCATGGCCAAAGAGTTCGAGTCGCTCCAACTGATCCGCCTTGTGCTGCGCCAGCTGCTCGAAGAGCTCCTTGCGCAAGGTGTCGCGAAGGGGCGAGGTGGTGTAGACAAACAGGCTTTTCAGGCTGGGCAATTGGGCCACAAACTCGTACTTCTCGCCCTCATGGGTGCTAATCGACAGGCTTTCCAGCTGGGCACACGATTTCCCTGTGATCAGGGATTCGTAGACATTGGACCACGACATGTCAATGCTCTTGATGCTCAGCTCCTTCAGTCGAGGGAAGGAGTGGCATATCTTGGAAAGGTAGGCGCCCTCAAAGTACGAGCACTTGTTGAGCGACAACTTTTCTATGGTTCCCGGCAGCTTGGCCAAAGTATTGCCCTGCAAGGGATTTCCTGTCAGATTGAGCGTCTTCAGGTTGCGCAGACTACGCAGGGCCAGGAGGCCGCGATCGGAGACCTCCGACATGAGCAGCTGCAGCGTCTCCAGCTTGTGCATTTTGGCGAACATCTTGTGCATGTTGCGCGCATTCATGGGACTGTTGAACAGAGCGATTGTCTTCAGATTCCCGCAGCTGATGGCCAGGAAGTCGCAAAGTCGCTGCGCGCGAGTCGTGGGCATCTCGCCCTCGATCTTCTCCACATGGCAGCCGGACAGCTGGAAGAAGTCGCGCATGTCCCAGACGGTCATGCCATCGAACTGGCGCAGATTCACCGACTTGTGCAGCCTGGCGGTGGCCATCTGATAGACCGCCCGGAAGCGCAGGCAGCTCCGGGCGAAGTGCATCTGGTCCGAAAGGGTGAGATAGCGCAGCACATGCTCCAGGCAGTGATCGTTCAGACTCATGATGGCCGGCGGCGGCGGGCGCTCCACATTGGGCAGCATCACCGCCGGATGACGGGGCATCCCGTAGGCATCCGGCTGGTGCCAGCTGTCGCTGGCCTGCACATGGAACTTCCATCCCTTCACGTGGTGAATCCGGCTGTGCAGAGCCCTGGCAAGAATGGAATGGTATTAGATCAGGGAGTTAAGGAATCCAGAACCTACTTGGCTGCATCTCGTTTCTGGGCGTAAAAGACATAGCCAGTCAGCTGCTGGAAGCGGTGGGCTTTGCGTCCAGCTCCTCCGCGGGGAAAGTTCCGGGGCTTGAAGATCTGCATGCGCAGCACGTGGCCGTAGATCCCAAAGTGCTGCTCCAAAATGGCCTGGCTGAGCTGCAGGAAAGGATCGGCAGGGGATTAGTGGGGTAAACGAAAGAGGCGATGGCCAGAAACACGCTACCTCCGGCGGAACCTTGTAGAAGTAGAGCTTCTGGACAGGAATGTGGTCCTCGGTGTAGGCAATCGAGTCCTTAAAGTAGTAATTCTGGTGCGCTGCAATGGAACGAAAGCGTTTGCAACCATGTGCATTTCCCGGAAAAGCAAGTGCACCTGGTGCAACTGGCACGCGATTTGGTTACTTACACGGATTACTCACGAAATGAGCCATTTTCGATTCTGATTTCGTGCTGGGCTGATTCGTAATTTGAAATTGTAATAAAGGTTTCTAGAATCCGAACTCGACTTTCATCTCATTTCAAGCGCCAAGATTAGTATGACCGCAGGCAGGGCGCCAAAAAATGGCAGGCTATTGCATTTACAAGATTATACCCCAATGAACCTTAAATTGGTTTTTACCGTTTCTTGTTCATAATATTGAAAATCCTTATTTTATTGTTCTTATTTTTTTATTCCTATTACTTGTTATATTCTATTATAAGCCTAAAATTAAATTAAAAACTATTTAGACTGGGTGGCAACTTCGAACCATCCCGATTCCAAATCAATCAACTACACAAGATCAGCTGATTGGTTTGGTAAATAAACAAAACAAATCAATTTGTGCACTTTTTGTTGCTAATTAATATTTATAATAACTCTTAAGGTGTGACGAAGTAAAAAAAACTTCCGATGTAATTATTTTTTCTTGTAAACAATGCGTGCTTTGATATTACTGAGTTTATTATTGTGATTCCTTTAAATTCTTTAAAATTCGATTTACGCCCACATTTGAGTGGTACATCGGGTTTTAAAAACATCTTCAGTAAAATTGTCTAACTTACACTCCCAAACTTCTGGGTGTTTAGCCTAACGCAGAGGATTTTAATCGCTAAAAAGTTTTAGACCGCTTTTTTTAAAATTTTTACGTATTTAACAAATTCTTGTTAAACAAAATTTTAATTTTTACTTATTTTAAAAACCAAAAAACCAACAAAAAGAGATGAGAGTTTTTTTTCGTAAAGTCTGCCAAAAAAAAAATATTAAATTTATTTTTCAATTTCTTTGTTTAAGCATAAGATGAGGAGGTACTTTGACAGAAAACATTTTTTTTTTAATTTTAATATGATCCTGTCACCAGTTATCGTGTCAATCGGTTGGGTCCTTTTTTTGGAGGGTCAGCAGAAATGTTGATATTTTTTAATATTTTTTTTTAAATAACTTAATCAAAATGTAATAATAATGTGCCAAAACAAATATGCTGAAAAATATTTAGGAAAATTAAAAATAAACACGAAAATAGCCCTAAGGGTATTCTTACTTCAGTTTTGTAAAAAGAATAATTTGTCATTTAATCCGCCGTCTACTTATAAGAATCCTAACCGTTCCTGAAAAAATAGAGACATCTGGTTTGTCAAGTTAACAATTTTTTGATATATTAATTATAGCAAACAGTTTTTATTGATTAAAATAAATTAAAGTAAAATAAAAATATTTTCCTTTCTTAATTTATTTTTCCGGTCTTTACTTCTTTACATGCATATGTATTTATACAGTAATTATAAGTATGCAGACTGTGGAACTTCGATAATTTTAAAGCTGTTTTAGCGCTTGAACCCAAGGACAGATCGTTATCAGCATTTAAGAGCAAAAGTGTTGCTGCAAAACATCTAAAAATGTCATATTTCATGAGCGATTCCAGTTAGTAAAAAAATAAATAGTACATATTTTTACTAAGTGTCTGAAGTGAAAATATTAAATCCCTGTTTGCAGTGGAACCAAATTACTACCTCAGGGACTCGATAGCCTACACCGAGGACCACGTTCCAGTTAAAAAACTATGTTGGAGCGATGCCCCAGCCCAGGTACTCTTTTCTCCAAATGTCCAAATGGTTAAAAATCTCGTTATTTTTCCTTCGTATTCGGTAGCTTCCACAGGAAGAGTTGTTGACTTACTTTGGTTCCTACGGGCTCATGTCGGAAATCCACATGAGTGGAACCGGAAATGATTCACCTATGTTTCAAAGTGGCTACGTAATCTACGAAAACGCCACGAATGCAGCGAGGTAAGTATGCCTCGAATTTATTTCAGGACCTGAAATATTTTGTATCCCATTTCCAGCGCCCTGGGCGACAGTAACCGCAATGTATTCACGGTGCAGGCCAGCGACAGTTGGGAGCAGCCTGATGCCTACGAATGGACCCAGGATCAAAACATTTACAATGAGTCATCGCCCATCTTAGGCCTCAATGATGACTGCCTGGAGCACATCGTGCTGAGACTAGGATTGCAGGATCAAGTGCGTTTCGCCAGGACATGCCCGCGTTTCAGGGAGGTCTTACGGCGGACCACCGCCAGGATGAACACTTCCGTGGACTTGGGTCAATTCCGGGCCATGACCATTTGGGATATGCGTGACTTTTTCCAAATGTTCGGAGCTCGTGTGCAGGTTCTCCATGGAAAATTCGAAACGAATCACATGGAGCGGTTGGCTGGATTTATTCGCGATTATTGCGTCAATCTTAAATCCATGAATGTGTCCTGCAGTCCCCAAATCGGACTTCATATGCACACGATATTCGCCAGGGCCTTCCAGCTGGAGGAATTGCAGCTCCATAACTCCGAAATAGCCGACGAACCACTGTTGGATCTGCAAAATCTCATTAATTTAAAGAAATTGAACTTGAGCTGGAACCCTGATTTAACAGGACGCACTTTGGATCAGTTACCTGTCTCCATCGAGGTTTTGGGGCTCAACGGATGCCGGAGCATCGAAACCCAATACCTCACTGAGGTTTGCCAGCACTTGCCTAATCTGAAGGAGCTCAACTTACAGAACATTAATACATCTCCTAAAAGAGTTTTTCGATCCATGGTGATAGAGGATGCGTGTCCTTCGCTGGAGGTGCTTAGGGTGACAGCTCACCCGTGGACCACATATGATTACGTGCCTTGTCTGCCCAGTTTAAATCATTTGACTATCTACAATGACTTTGCCAATGACATCGAATTTACGGACCAGTTGTGTAGAAATCTTATCGGTAGTCTGGTAGAGCACAAGTCGGAGGAATTGGAAAAACTGGAAATGTTTGGTTTTGAGTCTGTGCCCAGAGAACAGCTTGTACAAATTGCCAGGCTTCAGGGCCTACGGGTTCTTTTTATGCCCGACACGGCTTTTCCCGAGGATATGTTTAGGGCGTTGCCTAATCTTAGTAACTTGGAAAAGATCTGCTTCAGGCGCTCAAGTGCCAGTGACTACATGATATTGTATCTGTTCTGTTTCTGTCCAAAACTTAACTACCTGCGGCTGGAGAAGTGCACCCAGCTAAGCGTAAATTTGGTAAGATACATCGTGGCCAGAGTGCGGCAGGAGATCGCCAGAAATATATGTCAGAGGACGCTACCAATCGAACTGTGGTCACTTGTGGAAAGAAGGCAAATTAGAGAGTTTATCTTAACTGTAAGTACGAAATTTTGTGGAAGATCAACATTTTACTCCTTTTTCAAATTCCTAACTTAACTCACAATTAAATTACAGAATCCTGGAGTTGCGCCTGAAGATATCATACAAATAAAATGTACAGAAGACCAAAGTTTGCGCGACAATACCGGGCTAGAACTACTCGAGCAATAAGAATAATGACATTATATGTGTTTCAAATCATTATCTTAAATTCCCCTTTTATAGTGAAGTTTTTCTACAAGGTAAACCCAATTTGCACAATAAATATAAAATGCACTTATTTTCCGACTTTGATCATATATTTGTAATTATTAAATATAGTTTGTGTTTTAAAAATTCGCTTCTATTACAACTTTTTGTTTCTTTGCTGAAAACCTAAAAAATCATCGTTGTTTACTTTGTAATTGTTGTATTGTACCTTTTCATCAATATTTTGCTTTTAATTTTTAGCTATTAAGCGCTAGTCTCGCATTGGTGTTTTACAGTTTTGCCTTAAATTTAACGAGCAACATTCATTTAATTGACTTTTAAAAATTGCACGAAAAAATGGTATAACTTAATAATTGCAGCAGGGAAGATTAAATATTGGTATTAGATAATAACTAGCTTAAACTGGAAACTCCGTCGCTGAATACATAGATAACAGGATTAAGAATCTCGTAAACATGATAAATTGGATATATAGTAAAGCACAGAGAATTTAGATCCTTTGTTAACTGAGATAAAGACAAACATAACACAAATATAATACTTTGTTGAGTGCAGAGAAGCTTAATTGAACAGCACTTTCTCTTTAGATATGCAATAAGTTTTAACAATTATAGTTTTGACAATTTCATAAATTTATAAATATAACTTGACGGTTATTCAGGCAGCAGAGAATGTATATTTGATTACAGCTATGCGCGCGTGATCTGTGCAAGTGAGAAGCGTAGCTGTTTGGGCAAGGATCAGGGTTTCAGGATCAACGAGGCCTAGACTACAATGCTTTATTTAATAACACGCCCATCTATGTATATGCCTTGTATATATTTATGTATGTATATTCTAATAAATTATTGTACTCTCTTGCTAGTGCCAAATGCCAGTTTGGCCGCATCATATAATTGTCGAATTGCCTTTCCCTCCTCTCCGTAATTCCATCTCTCTAAACGTATGAGTATTGCCGTACTTGGAGTATTTTTCGTGTTCATTACTTTTGGTTGAGATTATTGATTGATTAATTATTGCTGAACGAGTTATTGGATGGCTTAGAGGGTGACGTCGTGCTCTTCGTCGAGCATTTCGACAAAGGCCCGTGGCACCAGACCCTTCATTAGGCCCTGCTTCCCGTACATGTAGTCCTCGTTCACGGGCGAACATTCGGTGACGAAGATTACCTGAATAATTGGTTGCATAGTTAAATATTAAATATCTTCTGAAAGTAATCAGGGTTCGGAATTTGACACACATGTTAAAAACATGAAAAATTGTATTTTACAGTGTGAGCAAAGTTATTGACATGTGTGTCAACTACAAAAGTGTAAAATGTGAAAAATAATTCTTGACACACACAGCCGACTTGTGTTTTTACGTTCTATTAACACGCCGTGTTTTTTACACAATGTGTTTTTGACTTCAAAAGTGTGCGAGTCATAAAAACTGTAACTGTTAGTGTAACTTTTATACTTTTTATAGAATTCTATCCTCTTTTAAATATAAAACAAAAGAATACAATTTTTTTAATGGGCCCATCTTCGGGAATTGGTCCGAATTGATCGGTGCTTATTGCTTACTGATTTCTTTGGTACTTATTTTATAACAAAACTAAATATTATTTTTTTTAGGTATGACATTTTTTACCCCTCAACAATTTTTAAT